TAACTGATCCAGCTCACCCAAGCAAAAGTTACTTTTGGTTTTGCAATCTAAAGAGACAGTAATAGTCTTCATTTTGTGTGGAGCAAGTTTTTAGGTACAAGCATAAAAAACCTTAAAACTAAAGAAGATTTGAGAGTGAGAGGCACAATCATATGCCATACATAATGTTACACAAAAACACCAACAAAGTAAGCCTTGAAATGCTAACTTTTGCACTCAAATCTTATTACAAATCAGTGAAGATAACTGTGTACAGCAAATTGTATTGTGTTAAGAAAGGACAAGCTACAGTGTTCAAGATTTTTTTATATCAATAGATATAGAAAGTCTCTCAGTTCTGGGAAGGCTTGATAAGCCATTTTCATGGCTTTTCATTCATACATCAGGGGCAAATGACATTCAAGGTTTGAAAACTCACAGAAGCACGTTGCCATGCATGCAATAAACATTACACTTAAAGACCTAGATAAAAACTGCAGTTTAATTTCAAGGTAGTTGCTGGATTCTACTTTTCTGATTGTAAATTCCATTTAAAGTATGTGCCAGTTTAATGTATTTTCAGCATTAGAAAATTTAGTACATTTAGCAGATTTGCAACATGACACTGTACAAGTAAGAAACATACTGTGACTGACTAATAAACCCCTAAAATGGAAGAAGGCTCAGGGGAGATGGTAAAGCGTAATATGCCCATGAACCTCAGGGAATAATGCAGGCTGTGAGTGGCCACAGCTGTTGCAAAGAAAGCTATGCAGAACAGAAACAGCTATGATGGCAGTTGAATGGCTCACCTGGTGGTGTGTTTCTCCCTAGTTCATTAAGAGAGTGTGTGCTGGTTTTGGCTGGGATAGAGTTAATTTTCTTCATAGTACCTACTATGGGGTTATGTTGCAGACTTGTGCTGAAAACAATGTTGGTAATATAGAAGTGTTTTCATTATCGATCAGCAGTGCTTACACAGAGCCAGCAGCCTTTTCTGCTTCTCATCCCACCCCACCAGCAAGTAGGTTGGGGGTGCACAAGTTGTTGGGAGGAGATACAGCTGCAACAGCTGACCCCAACTGACCAAACGGATATTCCATACCATATGACATCATGCTCAGCAATATAAAGCTGAGGGAAGATGGAAGGAAGAGCAGCATGTTTGGAATGATGGCATTTGTCTTCCCAAGTAACTGTTACACATGATGAAGCCCTGTTTTCCTGGGGATGGCTGCACACCTACCTGCAGATGGGAAGTAGTGAATGAATTCCTTATTTTGCTTTGCATGTGTACACAGCTTTTGCTTTCCCTGTTAAACTGTCTCTATCTCAACCCACAATTTTTTTTTTTTTTCCACTTTTAGTCTTCTGATTACTGAAGGGGACAGAGTGAGTGAATGGCTGGATTGTTGTGGGGAGTGAGTGAGCAGCTGTGTGGTGCTTAGTTGCTGGCAGGGGTTAAGCCACAACAGAGTTTGAATATTTCCCTAATTAGCCAGATTAGTATTGGCAGGAGTACAGCTCAGCCTAACATAGAGTAAAAGAAGCTAGAAAACTAGCAGAAGAATTTCAAAGAGAGCAATGGACTTGAGCTGGTTTCAACCCACATATGCCTTCCCAACAACTGGAGAGGCCTGGCATCATGATGGTAAGCATATTATAGAGACTGGTAATGGGAATCACACTGGTACTGTGACTGAACAGTGTATTGCAATTGCTCTGTTTTGCTAATCTAAGTTACATTTGTATTAGTTTTTTGCAGTATATTTTGTATCACTCTGCTAAATCAGAACTCCTGTGTAACATCAACTGTCATCACGTAAGTAAATTTGATATTAAACATTACACCCTCCACAAGTGGAATATATAAAAGCATCTGGTCAGAGTATTGGATTCTGATGCATACCAACATTATCCTGCTTAGACAGGTGCTTCCAATCCACACCATTTTTCCTGTAGAAACTACCACTTAGATTCAGAAATACTGTGATTTCCTGCCATACTAAAGAAAGAATGTTTTCAATATTGAATGCATTTTGCAGGAAACCAGAATGACCATGTCAGCTATCTTTGTAGCATTAAGTACCTTTTTCATGTTGTTAAAAAGATGTGATGCACATCCTGCAAAACACGGAGAAAAGTACTGGACTTCATCTTTGCCACAAACTGGGTAGTACATAGAGCGCAAACATCTGCAGTTAGCATTGCATGGTGCTGTTAAGTTATATAGTGTGCCTGTTCTGAAAGGTAAAAGTTAATAGCTTTTTAATAGAGAAATTTAAAAACAGCAGATATATAAATAAGTAATGTAGTACTTATAGTAAAATAAATCTCAAAATATTCAATTCAGGTGACCTATGCAGTTAATTGTTTAAAAGTAAGCCATGTTCCTAGTAGTTACAACTCTAGCAGGAATTCCCATTTATTCTGTACCTTATTATTTTTGTGCTATTATTACTTCCATAACTTGTTCCTCCAATTTCCATTCACAAAACAGATGACAAAATTCTGTGTCTCAACCCAATTCTTATGTCATCTCCTCCCTCCCACACAGTTATATACCGAATTTGTTCAATTTACAGCTTTAAGAAAAAGTGCAACAAGATTAAAAGGAGTATTTGGTGTTGTTTATTCTACTGATCATATTCCAAGGTTTTTTTCCTGTTTTGGATTCAAACCCTGTTGCAAACCCACTGCATTTTTACTATTTTTAACATTGCTATGTAGACATCTAGATTGTTCCAGCACAAAGATGACTGCACATGATAAATGCAGTGTGCCATGGCATACAAAGTCTTAATACACCCAAAAGGAGTTTAAAGATTTTCTATGGTTGTTTAGGGAATGAAGAACAGAGTTTAATTCACTCCTCGCTTACTATAACTACTCCCCATTTAGGCATTTACTTCCAGTATAGGCCATAGTATGGTTGTATTTGAAGTAGTCCCATGATATTATTAGTATGAAAAATCAGTTTGGGATGTGGGAAGACCGTCTTAAGATATAACTGGAGAGAATAAAAACACCCTTTGATTTTCTAATAGTAGTGCATTAGTAAGTAAAGCAGCTTCACAGGTTAAGAGTTCAGTCAGTTGAAACCAGGATACTGACACTGCCAGTAATTTAAATATCGTACTGTAAACTTAAAGTTCCAGATTCATTACCTAAAAGGCAGGTTTTTTCAACAGAATTTAAGGTGGTTGCAAATACTAAGAGGAAAAATAATTTCCCTAAGAATCAAGCTGATTGCTTACATAGAATTCAAACTGCACAGAGAATATTAGGGACATCATAACTACCAATGTACTTAATTTAGTTGTAGTACAGTTGAACCCTATTAAGTTACATTAGTTCATACATAGAAGAATCGAAGTTAGTTTTATCTGGCTTAACGTACTACAGCACACCTTAAGCAAATTCACTAATCACAGGTTTGTTCATACAGTGCCTTGTTAGCCTATGAGGCACATCAAGCCTAGTAGTATTTAATCAATTCAGTGGCAACATTTGTCCTGTTTACACATGCAGATAATGTCTCTCTTCCCTGACCTACAAAAGAGGGACCGAACCTTTAGTTATGCATGGTCAGAGAAAAATATTAAAGTACAGATGAAATACAGTTTAGTGTACAAAGGCTGTTATGACATGGAACTTCTTGTTTTAACACCACTTTTCTAAAGAAGCAGAGCAGCTGAGGACATTAAATGGTCTTTAAAAGCTCTACAGGTTGTGTATTTTTCACAGCAAAACAAAACAAGGAATCCCAGAAACTTGTGGGAATGAACAGAACTACAGAAATAGTCACTGCATTTCCATTCCTTCAAGTTTTCAAGGAAATACTGGGCAAAAGAATTTGGCATAAACAATTCTTTGACATTCTTTACTAGACAAAGTAAACCACATCAGTTATGCTATAGCCTAATTTATTACTAAACAGAGTTACTACAAACAATATACTTTGATTATTAACATATGAACTCAAAAGTGATCCTATACTCATGTGGTTCTGGTACTAAACTTACAAAAGCTTTCCCCACCTCTCCACCTCCAGGCTGTTTTTCAATAGAAAGAGAATGCTTGCCATGAATGATTTCTTCAAAATCTCCATAAAAATGAATCTGCATTTCCAAGTCAAATCCCAGAGGACTCAATTTATTCTTTCAGAAGCATTTGTTCAATAGCATAAAGCAGGAGTCAAACACTTGGCTATTCTTCCCAAGCTTATAAATTTGTTCAAGCTACCACTACATATTTTAATTGCTTATTCCTTTATCGCAAGCAATTTCAGAAATGGCACTATATTGGTGCCACTAACTGTTCTGATGCCGGGCATATGTCCAAGCTATATTCCAAAATGTAACAGTGAATTAGATAAAACTGAACTTTTTTTTTTTATAGTGGATACTGAGTAGAGAGGGTTATTTCAGGATTGGTTAACTCCAAATTGCTGTAGATAAGAAGTCTTTGGCACCAGTTAAACTACATAACTGCCAAAGTTACACAAAACTATTAAATACAAGTTAACTGTATTTAATGTAGGACAAAAATCAATTCAGCTATACCTTTTGTCAGCTGCTTATTATCATAAGACCTGGTATAGAAATATGGATAGCTTCACATACTATTTTCTATACAACCTCTTCAATGTTTAATTGCTACGTACAGATTCTTTTGCTCAACATATAACTATAAACATTACACAGCCAAAGTCTGCATCCTAGTTTTCACAGTTCTGAAGTGTCTATGGTAATCTTACAGCTAACATTTTTGACACTGAAGCAGATTCATGTTTTAAGTGTCAAGTGTCAACACTGGCCTTTGAATATACTGTCAATTGATAGAGCAAGCTGTAAAGATGGAATCAGAATGAGTGGTAACTTGGGCTTTAAGGATATTTTTTTCCCCAGTCACCAGTGTATGACATTTGGTTTATTCATTTTGTATGCCTTCTGGAAAAGGAAATACAAATGAATGGTTAAGGTATCATGGCATTAAATTTCTACTCTGTTAGAGAACTGAAAGCCTGACTGTCTTCAATCACTACTGCCTCCAAGCCTTCTGAATTTGTCCTCTTAACCTAAGGTTGTCTATTTTACTGTTTTCACATTTAACTAAATGAGACCTGAAAAATACCTGTTTAGTCTTTCATGTCACTCTGCATTTCTGGGAAAATTTTGTAACTTTTGTCCGTTGTTTGTGTCAATGATTCCCTTAAAGGACCTAAGAAAATTAGTAGCCTTCATATTCTATTTGTGCACTTAGTTGCTTCCCTGAGTAAGATTTTCCTGCGTTCTTCTATCTGTTGTATGTTCATTTTGTCAGTCAAAAAGCATGATAGATATCAAGTGAAGAAACTATATATGCCTAACTGTTGATTAGATGTTTATCATTTTTTCCTAGACGTATTACCAACTTGCACGTGCATTAGAGGCTATAAAACCCATTTCTTCCCCAATCCATCTTCTGCATTTTCACGGTGCGCTTCATGCTATTGTGTCAGTAGCGCAAAGCTACTTTTCCCCATCCTATTTAGGTTCAAATGCCTTTTTATGCATTAGAGCATAACTTACAGATTCTGCTTTTGTACAAGACAGTGATACCTAACCCTTTTCTAAAATGGGGGATTGGGGGAAAACAACAAAAAATATTGGTAAGTTGTTCCCCCGGCACACTGCCCATGCTTATGATTTTTTCAAATGGCAGCTAGCAGTCCCTAGCTACAAGCCTACTAGAGTTAGTTTTCACAACAGCATTTCGCTCTTTGGCAGACCCTCAAGCAGCTGGAGTTGCCTCTGGCTCTGTCAGTTCATGGCAGAGTAATCAACCACTTGAGAGCACAGTTTTGTCACAACTAGCTGCCTTCCTTCTGCTTTTAAACACTGCTCACGCTACAGAAATGTACACTACTTAAAACTGTGAGAACTGAAACATTATAATCTTATCATTAATTCCTTAATAAGGCATGATTGGGCATTTTATACAACATAGTGCCTATGGTGGTGATTTGATCACACACATTCAATGTTGAAGTTTTAAAAGCGGACCTAGAAATCCATTCTCTAAAGAATGCTTATCCTTATCCTTGCAGATACTCATTTTTAATCTTGCTTCATTTTTACTTTCACTTTTCTGACTTTTTCCCCACTGCCCATTGATTTCCAGAGTAAACTTTGTTCACACTAACAGGAAAAACATTAATCCTAGCATTTTTTACATTTACTCCAGACACCTAAAAATGACTGATAGACTGCATTCTCATTAGGAATGAGAGCTGTGTTGTTTAAGGGAAAGAAAAGTACGTATTGTTTAGAGAAGTCTTTCCTATACATTTTAGCCAAAGATTTTTTTGATTACATTTCAGTTAACCATGTTACTCCACCCATTTTATTCATCAGTTTGGGTCACTGAGCTATGCTTTCTTTGCATTACATTTCTACCTCCATCAGCCATTTTACCAGGAAAAAGAAAGTCTCCTTTGTAAGTGGAGGCTATATGTGCTAGAACCTGATGCTACAATAATGTCTTTGTTTTTCTAGGGAGAAATTTGCTATCAGTTTAAGTTGAAGTGCACCTAAGTGTGCTCTCATGAAATTGTGGCACATGACATATGCCTTCCTGGAACCAAGTGCCCAGATTGTCAAGAGTTGGTTAATAAAACAAAATACAAAAGACATGCTACTTCCACAGAAATATAAAATTAACTGTAGTCAATACCATGGCTACTATATCTAGAATGGTTACAGAAACTGGGATTTTTTTGTTGAGCGAGACCAGTTTGCTCAGAACATTTTGCAGGTGATACATAATTACATTTTCTTAATCACCTATTACGTAAGGATTCCAAGAACAAAGTTTTTAGAGTTCCGTAAAACATTTCCGGTTCATACATCAAGGCAAATATGGCATTTTTAAAGGTCTTGTATTCTGTGAAATAGCTTATTTATTCTAAACATTAACACCAAACCCAAGAGTGCATTAAGATATATTTACCCATTATATGTTTCAGAGACACCTGCGAAAGGTTCATTCCCACATTTAGCAAATAAAAACACTGTGTTTAATAGTAGGGCCACTGAACATGTGCTTATCATGAACTTGATTATGCTTTTGCAATCCATTTTGCACTTGGAAACCAAGATGCCACTTATGATTTGGCCTAGTGCTGCTGCTGGAATTAATATAAGCCCTAGAGGAAAACAAGACATCAGCAATTACACAAAAATGCAAGATATAATTAGTGAAGCAATTTAGAGTGTAATTTTATGTTAAGAAAAAAAAATCACAACAGTTACCTGTATCTTAAGATGCAGTCCATGTGATGTAATTTTCAAACCATCCTATGAGAAGCTGTTGGCATGAGTAATTTATTCTACCCTTACATCATCTTTAGCCTTTCCAGAAGTTCAGCTTGACAATGCAATTTTATAGCTTTATAGCCAAAACCCAAGTTCAACACAGCAAAACTAGATTACTTAAGAGTACTACATATTGGTCAGGAATCTCTGAACACCTATAGGCCACTATGAAAATAGAAAATGTTCTTTCATTGCTGCAGTGTTTTTTCATTTGTGTTTTGTTATACATTCGTGTTACAAACTTTTTAATAAGAGAACATAATCACTATTATACAAGAGACAGCACAAAGTATAATAAGGCATGTACAGAAAGATTAAAAAAAGTAGAGATCAGTGGATCAGCTTTGCTGTCATAGTCCATATAGTCATAATGTTTTATTCTCTTTGCACTATTAGGACTCCAGATATATAACTGAACATTTTCATATGGCTATTCTACAATACAACACAGAACTCAGTGTAACTTGCACTGACCTGAGACAGCTAATTTTAAAAGACATTTCAGGTACAGTGGCAGAACTGCACAGGCCACAGATGCCCATAGTCAAAGGTAATTTAAATAGTTAACATGGCCATTGGTAACATTTAGACTAGCTGGCTCAACATTAGTTCAGATACAGTTACCTTTCAAGATCAACGTAGGCATTTCTTTAAAACTGTACATTTGATTAACGCGATCAAGGTCTTCAACTCAAATTAAAAGGAGTTAAGACAAGGTCTATACATGAAAAAGGAACATTCAGTTTGCCATGTCACTGCTGATTACTGTTTAACAACTGAACATGTATTCCAATGTACTTCTACGTAAAACTTGCAGATACATTGTTTTGAAGCAATGACGTCTGAATCATGACAATACTATCTAGTATTATCCAGGGGACTAAGTCATTCAGAAAGTCTCTCCCAAACATACTTGTTTGAGAAAAAGCACTTGAACTAGCATATGCTTATATTGCAGCACTATGTACAGTATATATACAGTTGAAGTAATTTAGCAAGTCATGTTCCAGAAATATTAAATCTGCCATTTTCCAAGCATCTGTTGGCCTATCTGCCCTGATCCAGTTGCTGTTCTTCCAAAGTAACTGTGTCAGAGATAATCATGTGACCTTACCTAATGCAGCTCTTTCATCAGATTTTTCTCTTTGTTTCTCAATACCCAGCTTTTTGTAGCTTCCCCTGTTCTACCTATTACTTCTGCATTTTACATAATAGAAGGAAGTGGCAGTAAGCCAACTATAGAAGCAGCTACGTAATAGTTTTGCAATATATTCTGATTACGCATTTTATTGTAAGGTATCTGACTGTAATTTTATAGTGGAATTGAAGAAGGGAAAGGTCTAGTCAACGCCTTGCAGGTAAGCAGTTTTCCAGCTGCCCTTCAACTTGCTTCCTTTTGTAGGGACTAAGGCTTAATGTTCCTTCAGCTGATTTTTAGTGAGGAATATTAAAATGTTTTCACCACAAATAAGAAAGGAATAAAGCACACAGAATTCTCATTCTACTTTGAATATGAGTATCAAGTCTTCTGAACCTACAGAAAACAAGTAGATTTTCACCCTTCATGAATCAAGTACCAGGGTTTTCATAGGGCAGGCAAGAATAATATAAAAATACTGTTTCTGCTGTGGAAACTGCATTTCATATAAGTATATTCACAAATATCTCAGGCAAACACAAGATGCCTATATAAGCCTCCACCTATAATGCTAATGAGGTGTTCAGCACAGTAAGATTTAAAAATGAAAAGCCACATTACCTCCAAGAGTTGCTGAAATACTTGAGGTCTTTCCAAACTGACTTTCTATAAACTTCGGAAGAAATGTGGCAAAGCCAGTGGCAACTAAGGCTTCTGAAGAACTGGCTATTATTAGACTCATTAGCACTGGATTCTTCAACAGTATCTATGGGGAGAAATTAGCATAACACTTAGGAAATTATTTCATTGCAGTACCATGTAAACAAGAAGTCCCTATATTTTAGAGCAGATACTGTCATGTGGAATTTCACTAAAATGCTTTTCTTGCTTTAACAGTCTTAGGCATCAACAAATAGAATATGTATGAAGTTACCAGTACCCTGGAGATTTCCCTATCGCAACACAATAAAGAGGCAATTACAAATTTGTTTCTAAACATTTACATATTACCTGAAAGCAGTTCTAGTAAAGTCATAATTTCCTTACCAGGAGAGCCACGGGAAAGTCTTTAAAACTCTTTCCAATATTTTTGGTCTCAACAAGTACCTCACTTCCATCGTTATGCGTTTCAGAGATTTTTTCAGCCTGTATTTTTGCTGTTCCTACAAATGGGTATATTTATTGACAATGAAAACACTGAACACCTGTGCTCTAGACTTACAAGTCAGCAAAAGCATCAAAATAAGTGTTTTCTTCCCTTGGGAAAACTAGCTCAGACGTTGTAAGTCTTCTTGACTATTTTATTAGTACAGATCCATAAAAAGATGAATACTGTATCAATGCAGAAAGAATAATTTGGCTGAAAGTATCATGCTTCCATAGGAATGCTTTGACTGTAAGATGATATCAGGGATATCCTAAGAATTTCAGGCTATCCTGAAGCCCATTCAATTTTCTTTTTTTTTTTTAATCATCCTTACATTCTCCCCAGTTCCCTACTTCATTGTTTCTTTTCCTCCATAATTTTTCTTTCCAGAGAAGCATAGTAAGTTCCTTTAGATACTCTTCCAAGGGATTTGTTATATAAATCTGCCTGAACAGTAATTATATTTGAATTATTCTTTTTTAGAAGACTTCTCTGGGATGCTTTGATTCATGCTTTATTATTGCACCCAAAACAGAAGGCAATAGAGTCAGAGACAACAATGCATAAGTCAGTGGGATTTCCTTATGATTCTTGCTGAGTAACATAGCAGCTTTAAATACAGTCCTGGGTGCTTAGTTGCAAGGACCTTCCAAATATTATCCATCACTTTCCATGCTCTACTGGTTTCCAGTCCTACTGTACATAATTACATACATAGGATCCTCCCTCTAGCCCATTTGCCTTATTTTAAAGGCTGCATATTGGAAACAAGGTATTTATCATCAGGTTTTAGCCAAAGACAGTCAACTGAGAAACAGAATCAGAGAGGAATAAATCACTCAGTCCAGCAGTGTAACTCACAAGTATAAACACATCTCTCTTCCACAGTAGCCCATTATTGTTAAATATTTACCTGGTAGGTGTTTTGGAAAGCACGAAAAAGGTATTATAAGCAGCCAAATTGCAAGAAAGCATGCAACAAATGCTATCCACCATGCTCCAAGCCAACGTGGGTCATCTTGATCCATCTTTGAACTGGAAAAATAATTTTGAAAAAGCAGGTTTACCATTCATTAATTCCAGTCAGCAATTCCAGATGAGCTGAATTTATTTTTAATACTGATTTAACAGAAAGCCTTTTATTAGTCTCATCCTTGTTTTAAATGTATTGTTTGCTTGTTTAAAGCATTTTCATCAGCTCTATTATAATAATATTACATTCTACCAAATACAGCTTTCAACCCATTAGTCAAATTCATTCTGATTCAAAGGCCACTATTTGGCTCTGATTTCTAGATCCTGTAGCATTATGAAGATACTGAAAAAGTTATTTTTGGAAAGAATCTTCATAATCAATGGGTATGTGAAAGCCAACATAGAAGTTCAGAATACTATTGCATTGACCCAAAATCCTTAAAACAGTGGAAATAAGTGTAAATGAAGTTGTTGGTTTGGACAGTAGTACAATTTATAACACTATTTTCTGAATAGTAGACTATTACTCAACTGGTAAATTTTCTAGCAAGCTCTTCCCCAGGAGGTAAGTAGCAGTATCTTACCCCTCAAATCTCACCTCAGGGAAACCTTTTGCACAAGAAATTAGTAGTTGCAATCTGACCCTAAATGAGCAACTAATCAAAAGGCAAAGCATTTTTTGTTAATCAGCTTTAAAATAGCTAATATCTTAAAAAGCTAGAACTATATATTTGTACTACAGAGAAACTTTCACACACAATGAATGGAGTGACTACTCACTGTGGGAAGCAACACACTTAATAGAAGCCCTTGTGAACGCAACTTGTTATCAAGTTAAAGAAGCTCTTGAAAATGTAGTATTTTCCAAACAAAAACTCCTTCTACTCCTCACATGGAGAAAAGCTGAAGATTTTAAGAAGAATTATTAGGAAAAGAAAATAGAAAGTAAAAGGCTAAGTTGCATCTTGCCTTTCTGGGATCTGGATATCAATATAAATATTAAGTAGCTGCCCTCCCAAGACATAGCCAATAGCAGGACCCAGCAGTGACATGGCATAGCCAATTCCTAGAAGAGAAAATACATTAATTTCACCATACATTTTTAAAGCCTTCTTTTAAAAAAATTCCTAAAACAATTTCAGACCAAATGGTTTCTGTAATTCAACTTGTTCTTTCACTGTCATTACTTTCACTATAGTATGCAGAAGACAAAATTTGTCCTTGTCCCTCAACAAGAAAATCTGCAGCTGTCATTAAAAGCTGCAGCTCAGAGGTTCAGCAAGAGACTCTTTACTGACAGCTTCTTTATGCATCATTAGATTGCCTTTTGAACATCTTGTGCCTAAAAACCCACAATAGCTTGTGAAGAAGGTTCTGAAGTGAGGAGTGAGTTTGTTATGAGCATCAGTCGTTAATAGTGCATGCCCATGTTCTTTAAGAACCTACATATTTTTATTCTGAGTCTTAAGTTGGTTTTCAGATTTGCCAAGAACAGAAGCCAGTGCTCCATTAAAACTTTTGACAGGAGTAATATCTGCCACTTAAGTTCATTAAGAACTCAACCATATCAATAAACTGAAGTGCATATGAGCCTTAAAATACAAAGCCAGGGCTCTTAACAGCTCCTGACAGTTCTAAAAAAAAAAAAGCCACCCCAAAAAAACCTCACACACCACAAAAACTCCCACACAAAACAAAACAAAACACCAAAGTTGCAGGTCTAACCATATCCTACTAAAGAACACTCTTGTGTGTATCCATTTTTTATGGCCTTAAGGACAAGTTTTTCTCAACATCACAACAGTCTCTCTGGCCTACCAGCCAGATTTCTGGAGCACTTTAGCACTCCTGGCAGGAGCACTGTCTCTGCAGATAAAGGCTTGCAACTAATAGTAACTACATCTGTCTAAATAATTGGCAAGACAAGCATCTTACTGCTTATATTCTATACTTTTCCCCCATGTTGAAGAATCTGGATTTCTCATTTGTTTCCAAAGTGCCTGGATCCTGAATATTTAGGATTGTTTCTCTCTCTTTAGACAGCAAGAAGGAATGATGGGGGCAGGGATTTAGAGAGGTACAAGAGGGAGAAGGGGTGCAGAAGGGGACACTCAAGTATTAGTAAGTCAAATAAATATTGAGTTGACATATTCCAGGTTTTCCTATATTTTCGAAACAATGACATGCTCATAGAATCTTTCAGAGATAAGTCCACATTCATCCTACAGAACTTCAAACTTAGGTTAGAAGGTGCCTGTTTCCTTCCACAGACCATTCAGATTAAGTTACCATTTGGAATTGTTTAACTTTTCATTGGCTTTAGATGCAGCTGCCTCAGTTCAGCAAGAGGAGAACAGTCCTCCTGAAACTGAGTGCATTTTCATAAGAGAAAGAAACTACCAAATTATAAGTTGCAAGCTTATAGTCTAAGATGCTAGCAACTATTTACAGACATTAGCAGAAAGTTTTAGGTTTTTCTTTCACTGTCTTGCACAAGATTTCTTGCATGAGGCAAAGCAACACAATATATTTTAAATCCTCAATACATTGAATAAAAGCAAGAAAAATAATTAAGGTTTAATGTAGCTACCTGTCCACTCATTTTCCCTCTAGTTTTGTTATAGTAGGCAGAATACACCGTTATTCTGAACTCAGCAGTTGTCTGAAGATTGCACAAGCATTAATTTATTGTATTGGTCTGTTCTGTTTTGAGTATGAACACTGACACTATTCTCCTAAGTGTTCAGGCCATTTCTTGATGTAATCATGCAGACACCCCTACATGTTCTCTATTTCACTGGCCTCAGGAAAAAAAGTATAATAATCTTCTCTCAGTATAGAGAAGGAGCAAAAATAAAAGCTATCTTTGTTATGTAAGATTTAACATATGCAACTATTCTATTTGTTGGCATCAAATGAAGTGGCTTTCCTGGAACAATTAAGCAAGAATTGTATGTAAATAGATGATTATTTCAATTCTGCCCCCTAAAAAAAAAAAAATATTGATTTAGTCTGGAAAACGGTCCGAGAGTCTAAGATGCTTTAAATTCCTCCTGCAAGTTCCCAGTATAGCTAACATACTTTTATCATCTTACACCTAAAATGGGGAAAATAGCAAATATTTTCATACTCCTAGAAAACACACTTAGACTGCAATGAACTTGGCAGTAAGCACGCATACAACCCAGAGAATGCTGACCAGGAAGTTTAAAAAACACTTCTAAGAATTAATATTCCTTAGCTTTCAAACAGACCCACAGTAAGACAAACGCAGTCTCCCTTTCTAGGCAATCCCTTTACTTTTAATTAAGGAAAGATACTTCCAGTATTTCCTCTTGAAGTGCCAAATGTGTATGTGGCTAGAAAACTACATTGATCACATGATGCACAGGAGCGTCCCTGCACTGAGGGGACAGCCTACTATTAGAAGGTAAATAAATAAAACTGTTAAAGGATACAGTAAGATCTGGCTACCAACCTGATATACAGTGGTTTTCAACCTCTGTGACAGTAAAAAGCAAATTTTTTCTATAACTTATTCTGTTGTAAACAGGCAGGCTATATTAACTACTTGATCATTTTCAGTTACTCACACGAAAAAACAGCAGGAGAGGTACACAAAATAGCCTTACCATGCTCTGCAAAGTAACTATTGAAAAGACTTGATACAGCAAACTAATACCTAACTTGCACAGAAATGGCTGTAGAAACATTTTATGCATATAAGTAAACAAAGACAAGATTGATTTAATTAGAAGTATTCATAAAAGCATTTGGAAGGCATTGCAGTCTATGATCTACCCAGACAATGAGTTACAAAGAGTTTTAAAAATTACCTATGTAAAGGGAAGACTTGTGTTTTGGGACACTATCATCAATAAAAGCTGTCCCCAAAGTATATAGTGGAGTTCCTCCAACTCCCAGCAGCAGCTGTCCCAGGATAAAGACATACAGATAATTGGGAAGTGAAGACTTTGTGCTGGCACTGCAAGTGAAGTTACCAGAGCTTGTTCCTGGAATTTGACACGTGTCTGAAAGACAGAGACAGCAAGACTTTAAAATTCTGTTACCCAGCTCACAGTCCAACTGAAAAAGAAACCTGTACTGAAAGCTAAACTACAACGGAAGTGCTGTTAGTGTCAGGCTCCCATTTTAATTTTCAGTCTTACTAATATATCCTGTATGACAGTGCCTAAGATACCATATCCTCCAAAAGAAATACTATCATGGATTGGTTCTTCTTTCCTTACCAGGAAGGAAAGATGGATGAAACAGCCTTATTAGAACAGTTTGGCTTGTTGAAAGCATTATTGACCATATGCATGCAAAAAAAACACCAACTGTCAAATGGTCATTCAACAGGTTAGTTAATCCTCCTAGGTAACAGGCACTTCATTTTGTTCTTGTACCTTATAATGATTTGGAGGAGCGCTAACAACAACTTTCATTCTTAAGTGACAGCAACCTGAACAACCCGAGTAAAGTTTGACTGCTGGAGAAGAAAGTGCAGTCATCAGAATCACAACCAAAGACAACCCTCCCTTCTCATAAGATGTGGTTCCCTAAAAAAAAAAAAACTACATGAAAAACTGCACCACTATCTCTCACAGAGCATACACTGCCATATTGCCAGAATGAGAAGCTCATGTAAAGCCTCTGTACTTGTCCACACACACAAAGAGGAAAGCAGAGGTAGAACAGGCTAAGGTTGCATCTGCTTCTGTAATGTTTGCCACTATGAGGAGGGAAGAGAAAAGAGGAAGTGAAGACAGGGAGTATGTTTTCGCTTCTCCTTCCTCTTGCTATCATTGCACATTTAATAGCAGACAGTCCCAAGTGACAAGATCACGAAGAGGACCGTGGTTCTTTCCAGGTTTTCCACAGAAGAGTGTACAACCCTAAGGAAGAGGATAAACCCATCAGTTTGTTGGAAACAAGCCATACTGAGCAAATATATGAAAACACCCTTCAGATCTGATGAATGGACTGATTAATCCTTGATATTTTACTACGAAATTACTATGTCGTTTTTCTCAGGTCCTTTTACATTTGAGAATACTTTTTACTTAAGCAAACAAAGGGCAAGCTTGTCCACACTTCGGGCTCACAACACATAAAACACAAGGAAGTGCTTGCCTCACAGCAGATACTTAAAGAGAACTGGCTACACTGATGTTAAATGCATCCATAGGCTTTATCATGCCTCCCTCCAGAAGGAACAGCACCATAGTGGTGGTGGAGTAATGTAGCACACAACAGGTGATTCAGTGGTGTTTCACAGAAACTGGTCAACAGAGTGATTGGAAAACCTCCCTTCAAGAAGAGGACTCAATTAAAATTTTCCTTCCTTTCCACTTAGGAACAATTCTTGTTTTTAATGCTATACTGAAGCCACATGGGGCACATTTTATTTTGAATCACTAACTCTGAAAATTAAAGTCTATGTTCCATTTATTGTCAATCTGCTTTCTTTAGCAATATTTTTTTTTTAAATGGGAAATTAAATCTTAAATCAGGTTAACTTTGTGCTATTTACACGCACAGCACCTGAAACTGGTTATAGAAGGACGCTATGTCCTACCATATCTTGTTTAACATATATTCATGTACAGCACATATATAGAGTATACCTGCTGTTATAAGCTAGCTTCTAATGCCTATTGGGTAAGTCTAAACCAGCATTTAGCTAGTTATTTTATTGTAGTACACAAATAATAATATCTTGTTAAAGTATGCACATCAGGAAACAAGTAATGCAGAGCAAGAAAATACTATGAATGATGTTAAATGACAAAAGTGTAGCCTAATTTGATGTCTAGAAATAGCTTCATGAAATAAGCTGATTACGTATGGTAATGGCAATCAAACTCTTGACAGACTGTGGTTCTTCATGAATCCACATCCCTACCACCAATGTGTCTGTTCATGTCCATCTAAAAGCCTGTGCTATTGTGTAACTAATTGATTATAGCCTCTCTCCTTCAATTTTCTAGCTTGTCAGTTTATATGCCCTAGGAAATTTATCCTGACATTGAGATGAGAGAAGCTTACCACAGTAGTTTGTTTTCAGAACCACATAATCAGGTCTAACTACAAAATTAAGAGAATCATAATATACACTTTAATACAATTATAATCCTTTCATTTGCATCAGCTACCAGACCTCTTTTGGTTTTTGTTTTTTTTTGTTTGTTTGTTTGTTTTGGTTTGTTTTTTTTTTTTTAAAGTCAGCAAGTATACTTGCACTTGCTGAGTGGAGTCATGGACCATATTTCATGTTTTCAAGAAACATTTTAAAAGCCAAGATGATTTACCACAAAACTAGGAGATGAGTTTAAACCAGCATAAGTCAAAACTGCCATCAAACAACAGTTTACTCTCTATACCTCAGACATTCATGTCATCACCTTCTTGTACCAGTCCAAGGTTTAAGTAGATTGGTAAAGTGACACAGGTTAAGTCTAACCTGGATTAGATCCACAAGACTGTTCACTGTTGTTGTAAGAATGATGGAGAGAGAAGGCACTGGCTTTTACATGATCAAGGAAGTCTGACCTGAGATAAGCCAGGCTCTTGGAGAAGTTTAAGATGAGTGGCTGACCATTTTTAACTACCTTTTACTCATTAAACTTGTTTTCCCTTCTGAAAGTCAGTGAATTACGCTTGCATTTTAAAGAGCAGAACTGCATTAATGGCAACACCATGCAACTAGTTAAGTCATTATAAACCTTCTTGCATGCTTTAATCTAACATACTTACCTGACGGCAAGTTATGTAAAGGCCAAAATGTTCTCAAATACTGGGACATACAACACACTAGCCAAGAAGGCAGAACAAACTGTGAGATGCTTTAGCAATTATATTAAATCAGAAGTAAGACATGTCAAGACTAGTTTTACTCACATTTTAAACTGCAGCTAGTAGGCATGGGGGTTTTTTTGGTCTTTTGGGAGGTAGGGAAGAGTTTAAAGAGTTGTGAGGAGTGAGAAATAAAACACAGCTTGGTTTCTGTTCCTTTTTAAACTTAAAAATCTGTCACGCCTTTAAGTCTTGAATGGGAAAAATTGCTCAAAGCTTCAATTTACATACTGAATGAAGACTAAGTTCTTATTTTACAAGGGCAGATATTACAGAACATCTAAGTGGTATAGAGAAACAGACCAGTGCATGGAACAGCAGCACAATTCATTATTCAACTAAACAGAGAGTCTCTTCAGAAAGCAAAACCAACAGAAAACACACAAACATAGTGATGATGCAAGACAAAACAGTCAAACTAGAGGCTAACATCACATATTCTGTCACCATTAGTACCCAAATGCCACAGTCTCCTTCAATTTTTAATTGCCCTTGGCATGTTCTGGGGAAGATCAATTCATGCCCTTCTGACATGATTTACTCTCAGACACTAAATGACTTATCCACCACCTGAGTTTCCAATAGAACAGAGAACTGAAGAAATATGTTAAGGTCATTTTACTTGTCAAATCACACCACACACATTCCAACTCAAATGGCTAAGACTTGTTATTAACAAAGATTTCTTTTTTCCCAAGACATCATTTACATTCTGGTACTGAAGAGACTTATTGAATAATTCAGTCTGGTAGCAGCATCAGGAGGTCATCTAGTCCAACATCCTAATCCAAATAGCGTCAAAACCAAATGCAGACCAAGTTGCTCAGCATGGTCTTGAAACCTCCCAGAGATACACACTGCACAGTCTTCCTAGGTAATCTGTTCCAATGCTTGGCTGTCTTCACAATAAAGTTATCTTCCTTGTGTCAAGTGAAGATCTACATTTCACATTTGCTGCAACAGACATCTTTACAGATTTAAACATGCTTCTGTAAGATCCAGGACAGAAGTTTAAAAGTACATTGCTTATAGCATCTGCAGTTTTTAGGGTCCTCTGTACTACCTATTGGTAATCAAATACAGAATGATTTCCTTACAGAAAACCACTAGATGGAGCTCCTGATTACAAGTATGAGAGCCAGCTGAGACACTGGAGACCCTATGTAATCTAAAAAAGTTACCATAACAAATAGCTGGTTACATCTAGGTTACAAACTTGAGTGTGAAGCGTTTCTGGTGATTAAACAAGACATCTTTGCTGTGGCTAAAATTTTTTGTAAATAGTTAGACCATTGGTTAGCTACTCTTTCAATATGAAATGGATTAAACTATTTCGAAATAGTGTTTTTATGATAAAAAATTCCAGAGTAAGATGTATATAAAAATAGATATATATAATATATTGATATATAATATTTGTAGAGTAGGATATATATACACACTCAGAATAAAAGTAAATTAATATCTCAAGGTAAAACAGTAAGTTCCAGGAAGTCTGTAAGTCTTCTACTGGAGGCTAGATATATTTTGTATTCCAGATGAGTGCTATTAATTAACCTGGCAGCCATATTAAATATTGCAATACTGTGAAGTTGTCCTGCAGGGGAAACTCACTGTACTTACATGTAACAGATGAACATAAGTAATCAAGTTACCAACTAGGAACTGTTCAAAAATAAATTAGGTGGTAGATTTTAATACAAGACTTCAAATAAAAAGAGTTTACTCCCAATACACTAAAATCTCTATAAGCTACTCATCCAAACAAATAAGCAACAAGGAAGGTTTTTTGGGGTGTGGTGCTACTAAACTCTTCAACTAAACTTATAGTTAAGATGCTTCATCAACATCAAAACTAGCTAAACCAGACATCCTATAAAATCACATATGTGGTTACTTAACTGTTAAAGGATGCCGTTGTACAGCACCTGCAGATTTACATTGAGTCTGTCATGGTGCAGACATTCCCTGCACTCTGTAGTTATTTATCTTTGACATTGTTTTGTTTAAGTCAGCTTAAAATCCTTAAATCTGCTCACTACAGCTGCAGCATAGGTACCTGCATTACAGCAGTCAAACCAGCATGAATTCAGTCAGCTTACAGTGCCATGGACAAGAAAGCACATGTTCCACTTAATTTTTCCTACAGCTTTTAGATTTCACAAGGCTCTGTAGAATATGAGCCGTAATAAGATATTAACACCTATAGCATCTTTAATGGCAGATGAAGTGGCAGATGTTTAATGAAACAGGAACAGATTCTTTGAGATTTCAACCAAAATTGGTAGGATGGGGAGAGATCAATTGCAATAGTTAGCCATCTCCCTTCACAGTTCCACCCTCTCAGTATCTTGTTTCAATGAAAAAGCACTACAATCTGGTTGGAACTTTTTTGTGTTAAATTCAGCTTCCCTTCCATACTAGTGAAAGCAGGGAAGGTAATACTGAAATTGTAGAGAAATGGGATTGTAATATAGCCAGGAGCAAGTAAGCTGTTGACCCTCTACTAAGGGGTAAAAAGTAATCATCTGCTCATAGCCTCCAAACACTGAAGAGTTTTCTTTTGGCCTTGCTCAGTTAAAAGTTCAGCTAACTTCTGCCTCAGATCCTCACTTATTAGGGAACAGTAGCTTACCAAAGTTATTTAACTAATGGTCAATGTCTGGGCAGCTCATGGAAGTGTGTGACATGATTAACACTTAAAAAAACTAATTTAAGAATCAACAACCAAAAGACTGAGAACCTTCTGACAGATTGCTCAACAGCTACTGGTTTCTTTAGTGAACACTCTAATATGCTTAGTCATTGAAGGCATAAATCTGATTAAACACGGCAGCAACAATTAAGACAATCCTAAAAGATTAAGTCATCCTGCTTTAAACATATTTGGATGTTTCATTATTAGTTATAGGTGTGCCACTAATTTGAGATGCAAATAGTTGGCATTAAACACACAGCACTTAAAGTCTTATTTTATAAGAAAAGATATGCAAGATCTGAGAGCTGGCTACTCCCTTGATTTCAGTACTGCTTTGTTCAGCATACTTCAGCACTGCTTGTTCCCTCTATTTCAGAGACACACAAGTTTTAATCAACACTTTAGAAGAACTTAGTGAAAATTGTTAATGAATTACTCAAGATTCTTTTAGTAGTTCAAAACCCAAAGGAACTGCAACATGTAGTCACCTTCCAACAAGGCAACAGTAAGTCCAACAGCTTTCCTTTAACATTTATTGTACAACACTGATCTAACTTGCATTCCTATTCACAAAAAAATGCCAGATCATTTTTTCCTCAAAGTGAATTTTAATTGCATTCATTAATGCAAGTCAAAAAAGCATTTTATTCAAATATTGCTTATGAGCAAGAAACAATACTGACACTCAGATCTCTTAAAAAGAAAGTTCACTGTACAGATAGACATCTATTGAACTTATGGATTTCACAGAATCATTTAATTTTCAGTGTTGGAGTTAATAGCCTATTTTTAGGATTTTGACAGTCATTAGCTCTGTTGTACCAAATTAAGAGTTGCACCAAGTCGCTACAGAGATTTTTCTTTTTTTAATGATTTTCAAAACATATGGATAAGCTTACCTTCAAGTTTAGCTCCATAGTGGTATTTTCCACTACTGAAGTGTGGTAAGGAAAATATAAGTGAGCCCAATCCTAGCATAAACGCTGAGAAAGCAAGCCATCGTGGTTTGTGCCCCCTTTCTCCAAAGAAAGATACAAACAGCGACAATATACAAAAAGCAATGTCATAGCTTGCAGAGATTAAGCCAGTGAGGGAACTGTTCAACTCATAACGCTTCTCAATTGTTGAAATACTAATATTAATCAGGCCATTTACCACAATACCTAAAAAAAAAAAAGGAGATAATTAGTCAAAGATACTTTATCTAAAAGTTGCAAGGGTAAACTTACCATTGGGTGATGGAAAGGTTAAAATGAATATATTTACAAAGCTACATTTTAACGTATTTATTCACTTCAAAATCCAGGTATATAGTGGACTTCAGTGCCAACTTAAGACAGGCAAACTGCACAGGACCTAAGGAATTTTGTTCTCTCCTGTGGGCATTAAAACTTCAACATTCAAATATTAAGCCAGCGAAATACCATGCCTCAAACTTCATTCATGTATGAGGTTCCAGACTCAGTTTGAATCACAGTCAGATTTCAAACAGAATGCATTACAGTGTCGTAAGATACCATACAAATTAAAAAGGAAATTAGTCAAGGTTATGACTTGCATTAGCATACAAGCTACAACTGAAGCAAGTTCAGGACGTAGTTTTCAAATAATGATTGTCAAAAAAACCATAGTTTCTTCCCTGCCACCACAAAAGGAAGATTCAAGAAGGCTTTTGAACAGTCAACCTTCCCCTATAATATAAAAAAGTGTAAACCTATTTAAAAATACTTTGCAGCCATTTCAGACCAGTTGAGATAGTACTTCAACTAAGAAAGAAGATACCCTCTGAATCTTGAAGTTCTCTGAAGCAGAAGTATCAGACAACCTGGTGAAAAGGCCTTGCACAAGCTGCCCTACTTAGGCACAGGTGAACTCCAAAAAACTAATCCAAAAGTGGAAGTAAACTGCAATTGCCAGTCCATGCTTATACACACTGTCCATTTTTACAGAAGTGTTGTGTGTAGATACTAACTTGAATCTCTCATCCTGCTTCACATTCTGTTTCTATGTGAAACAAGTAATTAAAAAATTCCAAGAGTTTACTTTTAGCAGTCCCAATTTAGAATTCCCTTACAAGTGAGATGAATAGCTGTACTTCATAACATGGTCAGATAACTTCATGGTAGTCTACTCAAGCTGTGCCCGTAATAAAATATATACCCTGGAAAAAAGTTAGGAAGTCTTGGAGTCACAGTTGCAAATAAGATTAAGAGTTCTGTAACCTCACAGATGACTGATGAGCATCTCTCATGGCACAGGCCCTACAGCTACCTTTCCTCTCTCTAAAATTCAAACATGATTCTCTACTGTGATTCCAAGAAGAGAACAGCAGACTGGGGACAGCAATGGATTTAAGACAGTTTTCAACAAACACTGCACTATCCAGAAGTGCAACTACACAGGCTGAATGTCAACAGAACTGCTTAGAGGGCTCTACATAGTAAAAAAAATTACTCCAAATCTGTGATCAACTAGCTGTTTTCTTATCAGTGCAAACACCACCATAACTGTCCTGGTTTCGACCTTCTGTAAGGAAGCAGCTCTTGGCACAATGTTGATTTTGTAACACACTAGTACAGCCTCTTTATTAAGGTTGACAATTTCACTTATCAGTCTGACCACCACACTTAAATTCATATGGGATTAACAGAAATATTGAGGTGTTCCTCCACTGCCCTTATTTATACATTTGGCAGCTTTCTTCTTTTCTTCTTAAAGAGCACTGACCAAAGAACAATACTGGCATGAAGGAATGAACAAACAAGTTTTTCCCATTTGCCAGCACTTCAAACATTTACTAAGGCCTTAAAACATTCACATGAAATACACATGCTAGGTAGCAAGATGATTACAGAAGTAGAAGACATTGTCTTTTTACCTGTAGTTTAAGTTGCCACCTTTAATGTACAACCTAAAACCTATAAAACCTTGTGGTTAATTTTATTGGATAATCAGATTTTATCTGTAAAAATGTAGATGTGATAAACAGCAGCATAAGTTCTCCAATGCCATCATCTAGTGATTAATCACTAAAGTCTCTCCTGGAAAGATGGAACCTGGCTAACACTAACTTGATCTGAAAAATAAATCCTACAAGGACAACTCAACATTTACATAGTAGTATAGAAATAGTTTTCTAACTATTCTCATCCAAAACCTTATTGTCCTGCCACATCTATTAGAAGTTTAGGTACAGTGTGTACTGACCCACAAAATCCAGATTAATCATAAACCAACTTCATTTGCTCTAACAAAACACAAGAGTATTCTTTCTTCATCCATTTAACAAAAAAAAACCCATACTCTACAGCTGTTATAAGTACAGTGGCTTTAAAGCAGTGGTTTGCAAGACACCCAATTAAAAAAAATTAAAAAGTAACAAATCCAATCAGGTTATAAAATATTTGTGCTCTCCAAAGTTTACAGGCAGATTAGACTGGTCCAGTCTCACAGAGTGGTTCTGTTGTTTTGTTTAATAAAGTTATTACTGACATGAGGAATAAATAGTCCTTCTTGTACTCAAAACAGGGAGATAACTTCTACCTTGTTTGGTACTACAGCTATGAACTGCAGCATATCCAGTTACTGTATTACAAGATGCAATCATACATTTATGCAACTCTAAGTGCCATACAGAAAGGAGGTATTAGTCATGCAACCATGTTCTACTCAAAGAAGTGTTTTCTATTCTGGAAATACAGGTTTCATATGTACTTGAAACAGAAACAGACAGAAATTAAGAGTTAAGCTTCACCTGAAATGTTCTGAGAAGCTGAAATCCAGCAAATCAGGTGCTAATGATGACAATAACCTTTTTTCTGGGGCAGCTAGAAAATAACCTAATAAATACCTGCCTTCAGTTAGACACACACACAAAAACCTACACGCATGTACCAGGCCACTGCAGACAACTACCTATTCTGTTTACTCATTGTGCAAAAAGTCTAGTATAACAACTTACATACATCAAAAGAGTGTTAAGGATTATTTCATTATTTTTCAGTGCATTAGGAAATAAACTTTCCTAGAGGTACATTAGCATTGACAAGTTTTATAGATATATTTTATCTTCAACAGAGATGGTTTCTGTAATTTGGAGGGTAAGTTAAACAACTGGACCCAAAGCTAGAGTACGGTAGAAGAGTAGAGTAACTTCAAAATCCCAGTTGTGTTTTGTGAGCTTTTATCTGAAAAACTGAAAGACCTGAGTATATGTTTGTGAAATTTCACATGCAGAACTGAATTTCTTGTCTGAAAATTATTTTTGTTTTTTTCTGCTTCTCAAAAAGTTGCAGCTTGAGTCTTCAGTGCCTGATTTTCTTTCTACAATCTAGCCAATGGACTTGCTCAGAAAATTCAGATAACACATCATTAAGAATGCCACAAGGTCTATAACAGCCATGCCTACATCAGCTGTCAAAATAAGCATCCGAAGTTGCCTTACACTAAGGCCCTAAATCTGAACTAGATTAGATAAGTACCTTTCTGAGGTCTGGCATAAATCTACAGTTAGGTAACAGGAACAAGATCTGGATAAGTGGCATAACCAACACCCATAGCATCCTAAGGGAACAGAGATTCTTATAAGACCTTTTTATGACAGGGAACCTATCCACACTACTAAGAAGAGTTAAAATTTAAATGATACTGAATTCATTATTCAGCTGAGCAGACAATCAGATCAGCACAGCAAACTGGATTTTAAGAAAGATTGCTATAGCAAATTTAGAAGTGCTGGAAATATTTAAGATGGCTTTGTCTAGTGCACTATAATCTGAAACTTTTCAGTGTCACATTCAGGGCATTTTTGGTTGCCTACCTGCATTCTTAAGCTACAAAAAAATAAATGCATGACCTAAGAGTCTTCTGCGACTCAGCTGCCATTGAAATCTGCTACGTAAGAAGTTCTTCCATCCCTCCCTTTCTTTTTACTGTGTTAGAGAAAATAAATTTGAGCTAACAGCAGGACAACTGCAACAATAATCACCTCCTCATCCTACCAGCTCTAGCATGGCCTTTCAAATACAAGCAAGGAACAACAGGCTCTGTCCAAACCTCTCTAGATACTTTTCTAATACAACATGGGTATGCTAAGAAAAGATGAGATTCTAAACATTGGAATCAGAAAGAGTTCACGGAAACACATACTGAGAGACACTGGTTCTTCTAATGATTTTTGAAGTAATACAAGTAGCAGTCAAATCCTTCCAGGTTTTAAGTAGAACCTCCTGCTCAGTTATCCTCAGACCATCCCAGTTACCTCAGTGTGGTTCCAGGCAGAAACACAAGACATGTGGGATACAGATGGCTTCAGCATAGGCTGCCTGCTGTTCTAGCACTGAATCTCCTCTTCTGCATCTCCCCTCACCTCCCTACAGCAGTCTCATTCTTTATGAGCAACAAGAATGACCTTTAAAGCCTCATAACTTTTCAGGAAACACAGTTTTCTTTTCTAGCTAGTCCAATAAAGTTGAAGCGTTCTGAACATTGATCCAATACTTCCATTTGACAGACAAATATCTATGCTTTACAAAACTCAAGTTTGTACATTTAGTATACTAATGCTTCCCTTCCCCTTCCATCATTATTACTACGTTCTAAGCCTAAGGCTTGCCAAGGCCCTAACAAATCTTGTTACAGAAAACCAAAAATATGGTCAGGAATATCTGAAGCTAAAGAACAAAAATTAAGAGCAAGCTAAACTTCAGGTTCCCCCAAGGTTAAGTTAAGCGGTTAGTTAAGTATTAGAAAGATGGCCGCACTGGGAGCCACAGAACAAAACCAGATTTTTTTAAAGCCGTCTCAGTTACCCAAAGTCCCACCCAACCATGCCAGGGTACCTTTTTAATTGGCAGGCTGGCAACAAAGTACATGCTAGGGCACTACAATTTTGTCTGTTGGTTTATATAATGCGTTTTATTCCATGGCTCATATATCTCTCAACCTGTGAAGTGCACATAGAGCACTATTTCCCTGTGTGCAAGGAGGACGCAGCACAGACAAAAGCGTGAAGCACATAGCTGATGGGACCATGGACCCAGCAGTGGTCAAAGAGGTAGGCAGGAAAAGAAGAAGAGGGGGAACAGAGTGAAGTATAGAGAGTAATACAGTACGAGCAACTTCCCTATCCACAGCACTAGGGAAGCTTCTTCCCCTAGTGAAGCCACTACTGCCACTCTTCAGCAAGAGCACCTGACTCAGCTCGAAAAACCCTGCCCCTCCTTACCCGCCACCCAAATCACAACCACTCTTCCCCTGCCCAAGCTCCTGCCTGGCTTCCCCCGCAGCCCCAGGACAGAAAGGAAGATGCGCCCAGGGCAGCAGAAGGCCTGCAGGGGCTGGGTCCCTCAGGAAAGGTAGGGAGTAGTGCAGCAGGCCTACGGCTCTGGACAAAGTGGCAAGGACGCGTTACCTTGGAAGATAGCCAGGAGGCTGTACGCAGCCAGGTAGCCCTCAGGGTTGTTGCAGAGCTGCATAGCCTTAGGGGCGCAACGGCTCCACCCGCAGGGCCCCACCTCAGCCTCAGCCTCAGGTACGCCGGCATCTGCCCCTGCAGGTCTCGCCTGGCGCTGGCGGTCGAGGTCGGGGCTGGGTGGCTCAAACACCGGGTTCTCAATACCGCCACGCCTCATAGCACTAAGAG